GGTTTTCCCATCTGTTGAGGTCCATTCCTAAGGCCTTCAGATCCCACTTGCAGATATCCTTGCATTGCAGCTGTGGTCTCCCTCTGGGATGATTTCCCTGATCACAGCACTTTTTACATTTTTTAACTAGCTTTGAGGTTTTGTAACATAATTCTTGACTCAAAAATAACAAAAAGACATACTAGCTATTTTTTGAAGATTAAACAGTGTAAAAAATGTGTAGGGTAGTATATATATATAAAAACAAACAGGACAACATACATACAAAAATAAGTGTTTCAGAGATATGTCCTAAAATAGCACTTTTAACAATATTTGATAGCGAGCAGAATAATTGGACCACTAAAGAATTAATTTCCAATTTATTCCCTGCCGCATGATTAATTGTAGCTAGGAACTAGAAAACAATATATAATTTTCAGTTAAATGAATGGCATAGAGGGGTTTGGAATATAGTTATTAGTGATAAAGTAACATGTAATATTAAAGTTAAGAAGGAATGATAAGTAAGAATATAGCCATAAGTATATAGGGAAAATTTATTAATGTTCTATTAATAAAGGGCAAGGAACATTCACCTTTGCAAGTGTTAACAGAAGGAAAAGAAGAAAAAGAAGTTGCAACTCCCAAATAGTCCCAGTGCAGGAAAACACAATCCTTACAGATTTTTGTTTGTTGTTGTTTAGTTGTTATGTCCGACTCTTCGTGACCCCATGGACCAGAGCACACCAGGCCCTCCTGTCTTCCACTGCCTCCTAGAATTTGGTCAAATTCATGTTGGTAGCTTCGATGACACTGTCCATCCATCTTGTCCTCTGTCGTCCCCTTCTCCTCTTGCCTTCACTCTTTCCCCAAATCAGGGTCTTTTCCAGGGAGTCTTCTCTTCTCATGAAATGGCCAAAGTATTGAAGCCTCAGCTTCAGGATCTGTCCTTCCAGTGAGCACTCAGGGTTGGTTTCCTTCAAATTTGATAGGTTTGTTCTCCTTGCAGTCAAGGGGACTCTCAAGAGTCTCCTCCAGCACCACAATTCAAAAGCATCAATTCTTCTGTGGTCAGCCTTTTTTATGGTCCAGCTCTCATTTCCATACATCACTACTGGAAAAACCATAGCTTTGACTGTGTGGGCCTTTGTTGGCAATGTGATGTCTCTGCTTTCTAAGATGCTGTCTAGGTTTGTCATCGCTTTCTTCCCAAGAAGCAGGCGTCTTTTAATTTCGTGGCTGCTGTCCCTTCTGCAGTGATCATGGAGCCCAAGAAGGTAAAATCTGTCACTGCCTCTATATCTTCCCCTTCTATTTGACAGGAGGTGATGGGGCCATTAGATCCCAGCCATGAAAGCCTTTGTGAATGCAATTTGGTTTTTATTATACCTTACTAGCCCAGTGGTTTTTCATACTTCATTTTCTTCTCTATTTTTTTGTTATATGTTATTAAATGTTTCTATGTTTGTGTGATTTTGTTTATATTAAAATAAAAAAAGGAATACGTTTTGAATCAGTGCGAAAAATAGAAACTTATAATAGACATTTATAAATACTGAATAAAAGTCAATAAATATACATAGTGGTGGGAACAAATGGAATGACAAAGTAGATAACCTAGTTTTGCCTAAAGGATGACAGCTTAGGCCAATACAACTGATACACCTATTTAAACTGTAACTCACAAGTAGTAAAAGAAGTCTGTTTTGCATACATTGGATTCTACAATGGTTGTTTAATAAATGTCTAAGTTTGTCTGCTATCTGCTGGTGCATAATTCAACTAATGTATCTCTTATGCATGTGATTGTGTTACATCTGCTTGTTCCCTTTCGGGGAGAGAGTTTTTACTGAGTTAATTCCATTTGAAGCAGTTCTTGAAGTTTACAGGTTGGCATGTACTTTTAGATCACACACCTGTAATTTTGAGTTAGTGTGCTCTGTCAGTGGCTAAAATACTCATAATCCAGCACTGCAGGGACAAATCTCGTCCCCATTATGCAGTGGACCAAAGGCCTCATAACTCTTTCAACATTTGAATGTGTGGTGCATAGACACCAATCTTGCCTGGTGGTAATATATTTGCACATTTGGTCATTTTCTCTTAAAGTCTACGTTTAAATGCATTTTGTTGCAATTTGAGTTTACTATATTTCTATAACTTTATAAATTCTTTTTTTTCTTTAATCTTTCAAAACAAAAATAAATTATAAGAAATCCCAAGGCTTTCCGCAGTCTAGCAAACAATCTTGGGATCCTTTCCAAATTGTAAGTCTCCCAGCTGAGAAAGACTGGGCCATGTCAACATATAGCTGTACTGCCAGCTGTCCTGGTCCACTCTTCAGATAGTATTTCCACTCCTCTGCCCCTTTTACATCTTGCGTTAGGGAGACGCAAGGAAGGCAGAAGAGGCGAGAGACCCTAACCCTATCAGATTCAGTTTGGACTATTTCTCTCCCTGATCGGCAATCCCCTTTCTGTGGCTGTGCTTTTTAGAAAGTATCACTCAACAGTACTTAGTGCTCACAGAATTGCTGCCACCAATCTCCACATCTGCTCTCCTTGCCTCAAACCCCCAGCAGCATAACTAGGCCAAGACACTAGAAGTTAGTACCAAGATGCCCTCTACACTTGAAGTCCAACCAGCACCTGGAAAGGATTTTATGTATTTTATTGAAAAGAGAAAGAATAAGCAAAAAGATAAAATGGGTACAAAAGAATAAATAGATGAAAGTTATCCGAAATATTCTTTGTTAAGAAAAAAAAAGACCAAGGTTACAACAAATTACAAAACCAATCTTGAATCATCTCAAAGAAGGCACACACTCAAAGAAAGAAGGCTCTCTTATCTATTTCTATTCCATATTGTTACCTCAAATGGGGTCCTCTCGACCATAGGCAGACATGTTCCTGAGAGACAACATTGTCTCTTAAGTCAGGATGCTAAGTTCTCTCCTTTCCTTACATCTCTCAGGCTTACTTTATACAGAGCAAAGCTTGATGTTATAGCTGCCTTAATTACCTGTCGTTGCTGTTAATACCTTTCAAGTATCCAGGCTAATGAATTGTTTTCTTAATGGGGTTTCATACCTCAGTGCAATTTACCATACCTTTGGGCAGGAAGGAGCTTCCCCAGGAAGGTCTAATACACATAATCAAAGCTTATTTTAAACTAAGATATACATTGGATAAGCCAGAGGGCAATAGACTAGCCTCTTTGAATACATCATGGCCAATTCTTCCTGGTAATCACAGTTGACAGGGGCAGGCATGAAAATATTTGATTTCCTCCATTTGGTCCTTACACTTGTTCCCAGGTTAATATATTGTCTATACTTTGTAATTCCACGTAGCCAATTTTTTCCTCCACAGGGCACCTTCTGCATCTTATAATGAAGGGCCTCTAAGATTAAGTAAGCTTAGATAGGAAAGCTTCCATAACGTAACAAGTAGCTAGATGTAAAGATATACTTTCTTTAAAAAACCTGCGGGGCATGCACTGCAGAGAACTCAAGTCTTTGCATAGGAGTGAATGACCCGCAGCCATTACAAAAATCAATGATCCACAGCACAGCCAGGCAAAGAGGGAACCAGTACAATAAAGCACCATTATCCTATCAGAGTAAGCATAGTACCTTGGTTGCTTCCGCAACAGCATCCACAAAGCAAGACAGCAGTGATTACTCCAAGCTCTTTGCAGAACACTGAACACAGTAACTATATGGCTGATTAGTTGTCATTGATATTAATTATTATCACCATTGACACCAGTCCAGCTGGCAGCCATGCATACATACATGGAACCAAGCTTCTCTGAATATATCCTGATTTGGGGAGGAGGGGGAGGCAATATTTGGCCATCCAGCTGATGTAAGGCTACAAGAACTCATCATCCCTAGCCAGCATAGCCAAAGGTGAGGGATGTTGGGAGTTGTGGTCCAATCATAATTTGCCAACCCTTTTGCCAACTTGATGAGAGACTGCACTGGGGAACAGTTGCCATCTGCATGATCCCCAGTCTAGTTCAGCAGCCAGAAAAGCTAGGAATGGACATAATGGGGTCAGAGGCATTGATACTGATTGGTGCATACTGGTGGCTAACCAATTAATTTCTATTATGAAAACAAAGACTGTACGTAGGAATTTCTTCCTATGTACTTCTTATATACTTTGCATTAGATGTATTTAAAACTGTAAAGGGTTGGCTGTAGGTTTAATCATACTCCAGTATGACCAGTGGAAAAGAATTTGAATTTAGTTGGTCCCAGCTAAAAATAAATGCAAATGGATTATGTAAGAGCATGTTGGAGAATAGTCAGTAAGCACTTTTAGACCTCGTTGTATATAAGAGAAACGTAAACTTTCTTTTCCAAAGTTTCTTTTACCATTGTAATAGTTTATTGAATAAAAATAGGATCATATTGCTAGCCTCAATGAAGTAGTCACTAGAGGTGCTACCCTTCCACAGCCCCAGGTCCACTGTCTACCATCCCCATCCTGCAATCATACAATGGTCCAGATTCTCTTGTGTAATTACAGCAGCATGAAGCTAATAACGTGATACTAACAGCATAACTTTCTGAGATGAATTGCCTCAAATTACAAAGCCACCAATGTCATTTTCTGTTGTGTATTGAGTTTTGTGATTTAGCATGCCGCAGATCATGTCTCTGCTGACCTCATAACTTGTCAGTTCTCCTCCAAAAGTCAAATTTAGTGTTATGCCAGCATAATTATGCAAGAGGATATGGGCTATTAAATACTTCCCCCAGCTTCTTCCCATTAGGGAAGTAAAGGAAACAAGATGAGTTAGCCTTAAAGGAAACAAGATGAGTTAGCAATAGGATTTCCAGAAGCATCAGGAGATGGCTTCTTTATCTAAATGTCAAGTCTGGGGTGTCCTCAAAACTCTGGCATGGTGAGGAAATGATCCCTGAGATTGTCTTCAGAAATAGGCAACCTTAGGGGCCACCTTACGCATGATAACTAGTTTCTGAGGATCCTCTGGATGTATTTTTCCTAAGCAGGAGTCACCTCTATGAAGAACTGCCCTATGCATCTGGACGTCTCCTCACGCTCCAGTTCCTTTGTGGTATGTGACAGGCCTTTAAAAAGGCAGGCCTCTGGCCTGCAGCCTAGCACTCTTTTTTCTCCTTGAGAGCTTCTTATAGGCATGTTTCCTGCATAGAAGTACTGGCTCTTTGGATTACGACCCCATGTTAAGCCTGGAATTAATGAATACAATATCATGTTTGAGTTGGGTGGCATGTCTGGCTTGGTAATCTTAGACATTTTCGTCCCTGGGACATATGGTTCAGTGGTAGCACTAAGGACTGGTATCTCCTCTGTCAATACCATAGGTTCCTCCATCACTGTGGGACATTGTCTGTGGGAAAGAATTAAGACAGATTTTGAGATCTTAAAATGTCCATGCATTATATCATTCTGTTCATTTGTCATTTCTTAGAGTTTTGGGTTCAGCAGCAAAAAATATTAAGCAACCTAGTTCATACAGAAAAGCCCTCTGAAAGGCACTGGAACAACTGTAGAGTTACAGAATGGTAACTTGTACCATGATGTCCCCACTCTACACAGAACGAGGCTTGCCCAAACACTTCCCTTCATAGCTGAGGAAATGGATGCACCGATAGTGAGATTCAGCTACCAAGACTGAGATTGCCCTCAAAGTCCATCTGCCAAGACTCCAGAGGTGGCCAGAAAATACCTGGTTACAAGAAAATGCAGGGGAAGACTGCAGATGGGGGGGGGAACAGGAGCCAATGGCCTTCAGAAGATATGGAGTGATAGGCAAATTAGCTTAACAGAAATCAAGGAGTGTAGAACAAAAACAAAGAAAAAAGAAAAACAAAAACATTCTGTTGCTTTCGAGTTCTCTGGCTCTTCCTCATGTTTTGTTATTGGCAAGTGGGGAATTGGTTTCTTCATGCACAATAACAACAATTGCACAAGCAGCACAATCATGTGTTGTGTGGCTGGCAAGACTTCCTCTCAGTACAAGCTGAACAGATACTGGCACAAGTTTCTTTAAACTGCAGTCATTTACTATTTCAGTATATATTTTATAACATTTTAAAATTTAAATTAGTGGGCAATTTTTTATCTTGTCTCTCATGCCAGCCTTCTCCAAACTGGTGTCTTTCAGGTGTTTTGAAGTTTAGTCCCCTTCAGCCGGGACTAGTGCCTGTAGTAGCTGGGGTTAATGGGAACTGTAGCCACAAACATTTGGACAGCATCAGGTTGGATACCTTATATAAATATATTTGAGGATCCCTTTGTAACATTTTAAAAACCATGTAAATCCGATTTCATATGGGAGACCAAGCTGCTGCTTTAGATAGAGAACAAACTGTATCCTGCTACTACTAACCACTATAGTCTAATAAAGCTGGTAAAGGATATTATATTACCTTTCATTTCTTCTGTCTTCCCACATTCCCTGGGCCAGTCATCTACTAGGATAGGAGAGACCAGTTCTTTAAACCTTGAAAGTAGGCATGCAGTTGAGCAGCCAGGCAAGGTAAGTGGATAGGGCTCTTTTGAAGTGTCATTCCGAAAGTACATTTCAATAGTATGATATCTGATGAACAAATCCCAGAAAAATAAAGGGTATAAGTAGGGAGAAAAAAGTCATCAGTTTTTTAGGTGTCCTTTTAAGAAATGCAGTGCTGAAATCTTTGACATCAATAGTTGTTTTAGCATAGGTTTTGATGACATGGGCCTCTCCAGATGTTTTTCATACTATAATACCTCACCAGTTAAGTTTCTGGCTGCAGAGCCAGAGGTTGAAAGTTTGATTCACCACTTTGTCTCCTATGAGTGGAACCAGCCTATGTGACTGCGGACAAGCTGCACAGTCCCAGGGCGCCCCCAGAAGACAGGAACAGTAAACTACATCTGATTGTTCTCTACCTGGAAAACCCTGGAAAGGGTCGCCATAAGTCAGAATTGATTTAATGAAACATGGTGACAATGATATTTAACCTGCAATTCCTGATCATTTGCCCTGCCAATGAGAATTTTCAGGCTGCTTGCAGCTGTTCTGGAGCAAAACTATTTGTTAAAGATAACACGTGGTTCTAGCTGACATCACATGAATGTTTCAGAGCCATGATACCAGAAGGCTTTCTTGTTTGAGAAATAGCCTTGCCAAGAAAGCTTGTGTATATCTCCAGCAAATCAATCACTGCCCCGCTAAAGAAAGCTAATCTGCAAAATTGCAGTGGATGTGAAGAACAGGTATGAAGAGTGCCTGCTATGACAATTAGATGCTTTCAGAGTTTAAGGAATTTTCCCTTCTAATTACATGCTTTCTGTAAGATATAGTTGGGTGCTCATGGAAGGCAGAGATCCAAGTTGCCAAGTACATAATCTGAAACTCAAAATTGCTGAACTGGGTAGCAACAAGTATGGCTTCATTTTCTTGCACTGTAGTTTGTATCATCTTACTCCGGTTTAGAAACAACAAAATAAAGATACAGACAAACAATTGGGACTTGATCAAAGTGAACCCAGGAAAGAAAGGAAAGAGTTGTAACACCTTTAAATGTCAGTGCTATAGAAACTGTTTCAACAGTTACAGATTTCGTGTTTGCACCACTAATAAAGGTGCAAGAGCCCTGTCCTCTTTTTTACATGGCTAGATATATACAGTAGAACATATCTCACCAGGCTAAAAAAATTGAACCAGAAGAGTATTTGCTCCCTGTTCCATTTTTAAGCATATTTCACACAAATTATTTAAAATGGTAAAGACCTAAAATTGTGTGTGTGTGTGTGTGTGTGTGTGTGTCTGTCTGTCTGTCTGTCTGTCTGTGTGTGCATGCACGTGTGTGCCATGAACATTAAGGTCAGGATGTCATGTAAAATGGAGAATAGAGCTTGGGGTAGCCCACGGTTTCCTGTAGCAGGAGCAGCAGTGGCTGCCTCTGTCCACCTGAAAAGGAGGCAGAGGAGACAACAACACTGGAGTCACCATCTGCCCTGAAAGAGGAAGCTATCATGTTTTGCTGTGGAGCATATAGTTTTGTCTGTGTTTACACAAAGAAAGGCAGAAGTTCTTCCTGCCAGGAAGGAAGCAGGCATACCTGTTTGCTAGCCTCATGAGAGGAAACCCAGTTTCTGGGTTTGACAGCAAATCCAATGTCTCTGCTTCATCTACATTCCTTAAATGAACTGATAGTTCTGGAGTTTGGGGCAGGGGGCAGAATTCAGGATGCAATTCTGCATACCCTTATGTGGAGAACAGATCTCATTGAAATGAGTAGGGGCATGTTCCTGAGTATACATACAGTACAAGAATGGGCTGCCAAAGGTCTTTCCACATGAAGTGTGAGTTCAATACAACCATCTCTACTCTGAAGTTGAAGCAGCCGCCCTAGGCGCTGTCATCACCAGAAGCTGGCTCTGGAGAGCTGTGGCATAGCAATTTCTTAGCACACGAAGGGCCCCACGAGGCAGTGGAAATAGCGAAAATGTCCCAGTGCTCTCCCACCTCACGTGATTACCTCACTGAAGCTAATGGCAGGGCTGGCCTGCACCTTTCAAAGGTGCTCCTGCACCTTTCAAAGTTCTTCAGAAGATGGGATTTCAGCAAGTGTTTGTCATGAAAATGTTGTTTCTGCTGAAATCCCCTCTTCCACAGTACTACTAATGTTGCAAGAGTTTTGTTCTCCTTTTCATGTGACCACTCTAGTACTAAAGACATCCCTTCTACCCTAGCTGTGTGTTTATTTTGCCTCCACACTAGAATAATGCTATAGGTAAAGGTAAGGTTTCCCCTTGACAACTTGTCCAGTCGTGTCTGACTCTAGGGGCTGGTGCTCATCTCCGTTTCCAACCCACAGAGCTAGCGTTTGTCCGAAGACAGCGCAACTAGACACAGAACGCCGTTATCTTCCCACCGTGGTGATACCTATCTATCTACTCGCATTTAGCATTTTGCATGCTTTCGAACCGCTAGGTTGGCAGGAGCTGGGACAAGCGACAGGAGCTCACTCTGTCGTGTGGATTCGATCTTACGACTGCTGGTGTTCCAATCCTGCAGCACAGAGGCTTCTGCGGTTTAACCCACAGTGCCACCACGTCTCCAGAATAATATACTGTCTTGTAAATATAGATTTTGCTAACTGAGAAGAAAACCCAGCTTTTGATCCACCACTTGCTTACAGCTAGCACATTTGTACTAAATTATTTCCCTATGAAACAATAAGTGGCAACTGGAAACTGCATAACAGGCTGTAATGGTTTTGCCATACTGCGGCATTGTTTTTCTCTCCAAAGTCAAGCAAGGTGTCAGCAAATGGAGGCTGGAATTTGGCAACAAAGGAAGCGTGATTGTGGACACCACAATAAAATACTTGCCCATTTGTTTCTTGATATAATTCAAAAATCTGACAAGCTGCATATGGTGGTACTTTTTCATTATAAATATTGAGCGCCATCTGCAGGGCTCCAAGTGTTGTGTCATGCTGTAGAAAAATAAGAACAGAGAAGTAGTGTGTTTTCAGTTTCTCAGCTCCACAAATATTGTGAGGAAAGGTTCTCATTATCAGTAACGCTAATACTGATGCTTGTTGCAAACATCACTAATAAGCAACCAGATGCAGAAAATCATCAGCCAACCAGAGAACCCGTAAGTCATCCTCATCTTCCCTTTTCAAGAGACAACAAATGTTTGAGATATAGGTAGCCCACAGTCTGAGGAGGGAGTGCAGGTGAGAGGTCTTCCCCTGCTTTGACCCTGAGTCATCCCTGCTTTCATCTTTTTTCCTCTTACACACACACATTCCCATACACACAAAACACCAGGCCAACTGCATCAAAAACAAAGGACTTTGAGTCCTACAGATGTTTTAATCTTTTATTGCTGAGGGAGAGGCTTATGCCAGTTGTGGGCAACACATCAGATTGGCCCAAAATTCTCCATCCCTGAGTTACGTGGTCATCTGCCACATTTCTCCAGCAGGGATCCATGTCTTTATTGCATATGAGAGACATATCCATATTCAGTAGATGATGCTTTATATACTGCAAAATTTTCCCACTAGAAAAAGCCATCCCCTTAAATTTCTGCCCACCATGAAGCTGTTGGAAGTACAAAAGCTTTCGAAGGAAACAAGTTGGCAACCAAGGAAAACACTGGAGGTTCAGAAGCCCTATTCAGTATTAGACCTAGCTTCTTTCTGATCTTTTTCACTTATGAGGTAAATAATAAGAAAGGTATCAAGAGAGAGGACTTAGTTAGAAGACACCTAAACTTAACGTTCCCTTGACATTTAATCCAGTCGTATCTGACTCTAGGGCGCGGTGCTCCAAGCCATAGAGCCAGGATTTGTCCAAAGACAGTTTCTGTGGTCGCGTGGCCAGCGCGACTAGACACGGAACACCGTTCCCTTCCCACTGAGGTGGTACCTATTTATCTGCTCGCATTTTTACATGCTTTCGAACTGCTAGGTTGGGAGGAGATGGGACAGAGCGACGGGAGCTCACTCCGTCGCGTGGATTCAATCTTATGACTGCAGGTCCTCTGACCCTACAGCACAGAGGCTTCTGTGGTTTAACCCGCAGTGCCACCATGTCCCTTTAAACTTAAGACCATTAGTTAAATGAAGAACAATTTTTAAAATCCTATCAGAAGTGACACCAAATGGTATTCTAAGTTCTGGAAGCTGCAGTCCAAAAATGTAACTTGTCCAAGTTCTGTTGACTATTCAAACTGTTTGCATTTGGCCATAGGCATTTTCATTCCCACTGGGGAGATAGATGAAAGTTCAGGCCTTTAAATTTCAAGAGTGCTGTGATCAAGACTGGAATTTCTTCCTGATTTAAACTGCACAAATCCTACTGAGCATGAGAGACCTTTCCCTGAACAATCCAGTGTGGTGAGAGTTTTAAAGAAAAAGATACTCACTGCAGAATAGATAAGCATCTTTCTCCTTTTTGGATATTTTGCAGCATTTGAGAGATGTTCTAGAATATTTTTCACAAGGAGACCTGAATGTAGATAGAAAAGAGCGTTAATGTTGATGAAGAAGAACAGAATACTAATATACAATATGATATAATTATATAATGTTAATAATACTGCATTGCATTGTTTTGTATCATCGCATTATAATACAATAATACTGATAAAAAAGGTTTGTAAGGAAAAGTGCAACATCACACCTACCTATCTGGGAACAAGCCCCATTAAACTCTGTAGGTATGTAGAAGTTTGCACTGTTAACTACTGAGAAAGCTTAGATAGTAATGAAGATTTGTTAAATGACAGCACAGAATTCAGGAAGACATTATCAGTTCAGGACAAGAATAAAATGCAATAATGCTATTTCCAGTGCAGATCAAGTAATGAAGGGATTATCACTCTTGAATTGGCCTTCTCAGCCATGCTAGATGCTGTTCCAAGACCTCTATTCAGAGCACATTACCATAGTCTCCTGAGACTGAAGGATGCGTACTAGATGAATGCAGATCAAGTAATGAACAGTCATCCCACCAATACTAAGCTTGTTTTAAGTATCATTGGTGAGTTAAGCAGTTGGACAGTTAAGCAGATCGTATTTTTAAAATCCATTGAGGCATACAAAGAAGGTTAATCTGAGCAGGGAGAGTACTGTAGTCCTGACCCCTGTCTCTGACTTGTCTCCATAGGGAGAGGAAAGCTCTTGCTCCATGTGGAGTCTCTCCACAACACTGGGGATCCTGAAACATCCTTGATTTCTGGTTGTATAGAGAAGCTTCACAGGTAGTGTACTGCCTCCTCTTTAGACTATCCTTAGAGACAGCTACACACAGAGTGTGGAACTAGAACGTTCTCTATGCTCTATTTTGAAATTCGAATAGTCTTTATTCGAAATAAATGGAATCTGTAAGATGCTGCCTTCATTTGGCAGTAGCAGAGAACTGTCATCCTCCTAACTTTGATTGACTTCAATGCCCCAGCCAGCATAGCTCACTGCTGGACTACGCCAGGGATGACGTAGTCCAGCAATGTCCAAAGGGAAGGCAGTCCAAAAGCCATCAATCTTAAAATGATTAACTGATGTCCCCCTCCTACAATGGGATTTCTTCACAGATGTGTTTCTCCTTTGCTAATCAGATTTGAAAACCAAGCTTGTGTTCAATATCTAATCATGAACAAAGCACTTTAAATGCAAGATACATAGGTGAGGAAAATCACATGTTCTGATTAACAGAAGCCTTTCACCATTTATGAGAGCACTTCTGCAAAAAGGGGGGTGTCCGATAAATGAGATGGGTATGACGAAAATTTTCGTATTTGTTTCATTTCAAATTCTTTCAGAGGTTGTTGATTGGTCATTTTTCTGTTTTTCATACTGGTCCCTTGTTTTACATGAAATAAATAATCTCCTTCACACCATTTTGTTTCATATTTTTCTAATTTGTTTTTTCAAGAATCACTTGTCCAAAATGCCTTAAAAACACTCCACCCTGCCCCTCCCCCAAAAAAACTCAACAGAGAGGCAAGGCAACAGAGAATGAATATACTCCAAAATCAGGCAAAGATACAACTGCCAACAACACACATTGCTCAATGGCACACTGGCACCTTAAAAAACTCAGTCCATCCCCACCTCCCAAATAAACAAAGCAATCCCTCCCAAACCTACCAAAATATACATCTTTAAAAGAATAAATGTAAGGTGAACTAACCAAATAATTTTTAAATCACTCAAACAAGGAAAACACATGAGAACACACAAAAAATAAAACACACACACACAGCCTCTTCTCCAAAAAAACCAAGATAAGCAAGCAAGCAGATAGAGGCAAAAAAATATTTAAAAGCCCTTCTCAAACCAAAACTACTAGAATATTGAGGAGATTTCTCTTCCTGCACCATCACTTGATGCTTTTCTTCTCTTCTTTTGAGCTGAATCACCAGCAACAGGAAGACTAGGAAGGCAGTAGTAAAAATTGGTTTGAAAATAGGGTCAATCCCCCAAAAATAAAAAATAAAAAGAGGCAAAATTTGAAAGGATCCAGATGGAGCCATAGGCTAGCAGGCTGAGGAACTCAAGATGAAAGACACAAGGAGCTCAGCAACAACAAACAAACATTAATCTCATCCACAAGGACTGAAGCAAAACTAGAAAATCCTCCTCATGGGTCCAAGCCTATCCAGGCCTGCTCCCCCCAGATGTTCTGATTGGCTGCTGACAACAACCTTCATGACACTACTGAATGAACAATTTCCCAGGCAGTTTGACAGACTAAGGCTGAACGAATAGGTAAACAAAGAAGGAACTTTTGAGTATTCCTCTTTTATTAATATGAATCATTCATTTTTAAGAGAGCCTCTCTTTTTTCTGAAAAAAACCTGCCTCTTGTGTGCTTTTTTCCTCATCTGTGGAAACACAAAAGACCCATCTCTATTAAATGCATCATGTTTTGATAATACAGAGTGATAGCATGCAATGAGCAAATGTTCTATGATACACGAATTCTAAATCCAGTAGTATTTGTATCTATTGTTTTCTATTGAAAATCTTTTTGCTCAGATTTTTGATCATGGGAAGTTAATAGATGAGCACATAGACTACATTCCACTCACATGGACCTCTGTTTCCACAATCCATCTTTCACTGTAAATTTTTAAAGCGAGTAATTAAAACTTCATTAATTTTCCATGTTTGAAGGAAATTGCAAATCACAGATTGTTTTATTTTTCTTTATTGTGCCATTTTTAGATTTTTCTCAGCCAACTATAATTTTAGGTATAACAACAGTGTATAGTTCAGTTGTTACAAATACACATGTGGTGGTGCTGCAAGTGTGATAATAAATATAAGATAATAAATAGTATTTCTTCTTGAGACGACACTGTAATTTTAGTCTTTCTGTGTATCTATATAGGCTCTCCATGTGAGTCAGAAGCCCCTCATCCCTTTTTAGTACAAAACACCACACTGAAGACCTGGTCTATGCAATGCAATTCTGCACAGCTGAAGTGCATTCTCTGAATAAAACGGCCTTCTCCTCAACATTAAATTTATGACTGGAATTTCTTTGTGCTTATTCATAATGGATTTAGAACCTATGAAGTAGCTTCCACGCACCCTGAAATCGTCTAGAATCGGTATTTTTAAATATACCCTTTAACTCAGGGGTCCCCAGCCCCTGGTCCGTGGCCCGGTGTCAGTCCGTGGACTTCCTTGAACTAGGCCATGGACACAGATCTCCACCCTCCCTACCTGCAGTCACGCTGGGGCTGAGCGCCAGTCTTTCAAACAATCCCCAGATGGTGCGCGCTCCCCTTGCTTTGCAGAGGGAAGGATGGTGAGAGAGCATGAGGGAAGGAGGGAGGGCGACTCTCTCCGTCCAGCAGCAGCAAGAGGAAGGGGAGGGGAGGGCTTGCTTTGGAGAAGCAAGGCAATGAAGGAGTCAAAGAGGGAGCCCAAAATAGTTCACCTCAAGAAGCCAGCGGCACAGTTTTGATGGCAGGCAAGGCAGCCGAAGTTGACGCGCAATTCCCTGCCCCCCCGGGGTTTGGCATTGCCAAAGAAACAGTGACTCCTCTCCAAGAGAACCACTGCCACCAGAGGACCCCAGCAGCCTTTTTTGAGCTTTTCCTTACCAACTTCTCAGGGGTGTGGAGGACCAGCTCCTCTTTTTCTGCCCGCATCCACATAAGAGTGAGGAGGGGCTAAAAACCCAGCAAACGGTGACAAGGTCACCCGCGAGCAACAGACGCTGCCCTCGAGTCCAGTGTGGGGTCTTTTATTTTTATTTTTTTGCACCTGGGAAGCCCTTCCAAGATCTTTTTGCAAGCAGAGCGAGCTCCAGTTTTATTTTATTTGCAATTGGCCAGGAGAAGAATCCTTGGCCCCACCTCCATCTCCTTTCTTCCTGTATTTCTAGGTTAAATATTTTATAAAGTAATGGATGAGGGACAAACATTTATGGTTCATATGAGGCAAAGACAAACAGCTCATCTCTTAGATATCTTACACCAGCGTTGATTTACTGGCTAAAATTCTGTTTGCAAAATGCACACAATATAAGTCTGATGATATCATCAACGATAATTGTTCTTTGTGACTTAAGGATGTCCAAACCGATGGGCTTGAGGCTACTTTGGGATCTCCTTCATCCTGGGAAAGCGCTTGAGGAGGTGTGGGGGTGGGATGAGGAGTCTTTAAATTACAAACATTGTTTCTGGATTTCAATTAATCATTGGATGATATCATGTTGTATAACCCAGACTGGGTGCTGGAAACATTTAACTTATGCTAATTAAATCTTCCTACCCCTTGCTTTAGCTTTTGAGGCTTCCCTAGCTTCCCATTTGCTGGATTTATAATGTATGAAGTAGCTTCCACACTTGCTGAAATCTTCTAGAAATGGTATCTTTTAATATAGCCTTTACTGGAAGAGGTGATGATGAAATATAAATTACATGTTTACTACAATAAAGTGATAGGATCAAAACAGCATTTAAAAAAATAAAGTGAACGTTTGCTTAACTCAGTGATGCCAATTAAAATTCTCCCTTACTGATTAAAATTGGCCACTGAATAATCAGCTAAAGCTTTTGTTAATTGACATATATAAATTAAATTAATTAGAACTGTCAGCCTGAATACTTTGCATTATAACTTTATCTAGAACAGGCTTGTCCAACCCGCGGCCCGCGGACCGCATGCGGCCCAGGTCAGCTCGTAATGCGGCCCAGTGCAATGTTTTATTTTTAAAGAAATTCCAAAGTTTCAAGTTACACTGCCGGCGCTTGTGGCCGGAATGTGGCCGGGGCATGTCACAACAGTAGAGGGGGAGAGAGGGAAGGAAGGAGTGGGAGGGGAGGGGACAGGGGGGCTGTGTGACTGCATTGCACCATCCCCGTCAATAGGTGGACCCCCTCCTGGCCCCATAAAGCTGCCGGAGTCAAAGCTGGCAGCCTCTGCTGTCTGAAATTGCAGCTGCCGGTAAGCGCGCTTGGAGCGGGGCTGCGGAGGACGGCTAGGGCTGCCCCCCTCAAGCGGCCCAAACCAAATGTATGTGCGGCCCAAACCAAATTTTCATCTTCTAATGTGGCCCAGGGAAGGTGAAAGGTTGGACACCCCTGATCTAGAACATACACTGTACAGAGCCATAATCATCATGTTTCAGTGAAAGTTACCTCCTTGTAGTCGAGCCTTCTCTTCCCTTTTGTAAATGCCAAATAATGTTGACAAAGAAATAACCGTTAGCTCTTCCAGCTTTGCTCTTATGTCTTCGGTTGCCCATTTAGGCAACGTGTAATTGTGAATTAACTAGAATTTAAAAAAGCATGTTTGAATCATTCTCAGACCTTTTAAACTCTGCTTTTTCCTGCTCCATTGGGTACATAAATACCTTATCATGCTTTCCCAATAAACCCTGGTTTGACATTTTACCAAGATAGGCAAATTACAGTTGGTTCTTGTTTGCAAGGCAGGATTGGAAACCAGTGTTTGCCATGTAATAAGAAACTAAGTTATTAATCATGATATGAGAAAAGACAATGGATTTTGTATGTCTAAAGCTTGTTCTCATTATGTCAAACTATGATCTGGTATTAAGTCGAAACCATACAGAGCATGGAAATTATTCTTAATTTGCAGTTCTTAGAACCCTCCAGTAAGCATGGCCATTGCTGGAAGTGTAGACCAATAGTCAGAACAGCCCTATTGGCTGGTAGCCATCTTAAGTACCAGTTATGCTAATAGGCCACAGAGTTGCACTTGGCTGTTGGTCAAAATCCTGTTCCTTAATGTAGCAAAGTGCACTAGAGTAGGTCCATTGAATAAATGGGGATTTATTGAGTCAACTCCTATGTAAATTGAATTGATTCAAGTGGGCCTATTCTAATTGCAACTTTCTATCCTAAAGTAAGTCACAGTTGGGGTATGTGAATTAATGGAACCTATTTGAATTAGTGGAACCTATGGAGAGGTTGTCTCACCAAATCTCTACTGATTCAATGGTTCTACTGATTTACTATGCTAAGAAACAAGTTTTTGGCCACTAAACCATTCAAATTAAGATTTGTTCTGCTATGTGGGGCAAATCAAGTTAATGCTTAAAAAAAATTAAAAAAGGAAAAATACCTCACAAAACAAAGTATCCTGTATATGCCAGAGTTTGAAATTGTCCACATATTTGAGAATGTAGGGGTTATATCCTGCATAAACAGCTATTTCTTGTATAAATTCCTGTAAAGGAACAAAAAGAAAAATGACTTCAAATAGAAAACAATGCACAGAGATATATGTTCATATAGGTAATGTGATTATGTACATCATAGCTTGTCACCACATCCTAGTAGGCGAAACAAAAGACTGAAGTGTGCAGGGACCATGTAATGAAAAGCCTCAAGTATATATTGTTTTAATAGTGGAAGAAATTGTCATCCCAACTAGGCTGTGTTTATTGTTTAATAGAGTTTATAAATACGTACAGTATAAGAATATTCCATATGCTTTTTCTTAAATTTTGGTTTTGATTTCTTAACCTACGATCAATGCAGTGATTATACACTGTAGTTGAATGTGGTGATACTTCACAACATAGTACATACAATCACAGGCAGATTATGGTAGATTATACAATAGAGTATAGATTTAAAAAAATAAAAAACAGTCATAGTCTCAAAGTTATTCTTGTGCAGGGTCAGAAATTTCTCAACAGGCTAGATTGCTATGTTGAGGTAGCCAGCTTCAAAGGGAACAAGACATTTTGCAAGAATTACTATTACTATTGTCGATTTTTAATTACCTCATATGGTTGAATTTTGGCCTGAAATTCACTTGATTCCATTGTTTCCTTCAGAAGTTCTCTGTAACGTGGACAGTCAAATATTGGGTAACGCAATTTCTGCAGGGAAAAACACCCACTTATTTTTGGCCAGCTTCTAAGACACTTTAAGTTTCACTATAAGGCTCTTGTATAGCAATGATATTGCATCTGTCTTATGCCTGCATAATAATATTGAGTCGAAAATGCATTGATTTAAAATCACATGATTCAGTGACCTTGCTGGAAGTAAACTGATTTGGGTTTGGACCACCTTAGGCCAGGCAACCTTTTGGGAACCCTGTGTGTGCTGCCCTGAGTTCCATTATTGATGAAGAGCATATTGTTGGACTTTATTTCCCATTAGCCTTGGCCTGTACAGCCAGTGCGAAGGATAATGCGAGTTGCAGTCTGATAACATTTGGAATGCTACGCATTCCTTGTCTCTATTGGGCATTCTTAACTTACAGTAGGTCCCACTGAATACAATGGATCTGGCTTCTGAGTAAATAGATGGTGCTATAAATGTACTAAATCAATAAAATGAAGGTCATCGCTGAACTGTGCTCCAACAGCTAGAATGTAATATTCCAATGCTCATTTTGCTTTGAGAATTAGTTTGCACTTCTTCCTTCCTGTCCCCCTTCACTTTTGAACTGCTTGAAGCAGGTTTTGCTGTTCAAATTCAGAATAGAGAAACGGCATTCTCTCTCTTTTTTTTCTCTTCCTCAAATGACTGAAAAATCTATCACTATCTTTGTGCAACAACCTTGGGCAACTTGTTATTATGGAACAATAAGCATGTGACTAACCTTTGTTTTATTTTTAGCTGAAAAGTTCTGAAGGAAGAGAGGACAGGGCTGACAGTGGTCAAGCATGAAAACTATGAGCTTGAAATTCTGACTACAATCCTCTGCTCAGCCTGAATTTGTGGGGTGAGCACCTCATTTTCTCTCAGCCTTAGGCATAATTAGTGTATTTATAATGGAAGAGGCATGAGTTCCAACTGTGATCTTTCTCTGTAGGTAACATCGTCATCAGCAAAGTACCACAAAACCTTAGTCTCTTGTGAATAGCCATATAAATTTGATTCTTCCTGGTTCTCAGCAGTGCCAGCAACCCATAGTGAGGAACAAACTGCTATGGGAATTGTGCAGTTTAGTAGTAAACCCATCCACATGATGGAGCCCATTACCCTAACTGTATGTTCCAATGTGCAGAATTAGTAAGATGGAGCTAGATACAAAAGAATCAGAACTAAGATCTGCTGCTTTCTACTGCTAAATCTGCTCTCTAGTTCATGGGTCTGAAGGTGTCCCCAACACTGATTCCACAAACTCTTACACCCAGTTTATTTATTTTTTAATTCTAAAAAATTATTCTGTGCTCTCTAGAGACATGAGGGACACTTTCATCATGTTTGGAGGTTCCTTCGACTGTTTTAGGTTTGAAGGAGCTTTCTCCCCACTATTACAAGTCATTTAACAATTTAGGAAGAAAGGGAAGGGAGGTAAATTTGTTCATGCAGCCATCAGGGGGCACAATGGGGCTTATTCATTGAAAAAATTTAGGAAGAATATTTCTGGTTGTAGAAAACTGAATTGAATTGAATTGAATTTATTGTCATTGTACTTCCATACAACGAAATTAAATGCCATCTCCAGTACATACAATAATAAAACACACAAGAACATAACATCCATAATATGAAAACATAGCACATTACACATAAAACACACCCCTCTCATTCAAACCCACATCCTTCACATTCAATTTCCCATCGCACAAGACATTAATATTGCACTATACAGTGGAATTCAAAATACAGTGGTGCCTCGCACAACGAGTGCACCGTAGAATGACGAATCTGCACAACGGGGCCGTTCTAGCGATCGCAAATGCAATCGCACACCGACGGTCCCTATGGCTCAAAATCGCAGAGTGAAAGTCGGTAAGCGGTTCGCTTACCAACCTTCGCTTTGCGACCTGCTGATCAGCTGTTCGGCGGCTTCAAAATGGCCACCGGAAGCCCCAAAATGGCCGTGCGCAGTGTTTTCGCGCCCTCGTTAAGCGAGGGGAGGGCGCGAAAATGGCTGCCGGCCATCGGAGAAACATCGCTGTACGGTGAGTAAAGCTGCTATTGGAACGCATAAAACTAAGTTAATGGCTTTTTTTGATCCGTACAGCGATGTTTTCACACAGCGAGGGTTAATCCGGAACAGATTAACCTCGCTGTGCGAGGCACCACTGTAGCTGTAACTCTGGGATAGAAACTGTTTTTCAACCTATTTGTCTTTGTTTTACAGTAATTATCCTATGCCTTCTACCAGATGGTAACAATTGAAAGAGAGGATGGGAGTGGGTGTGGTCCTCCAATGTACAGAGGTGTGTGTGCACATGAATGCATGTGCAACCCCTGGAACTTGGGACATTAACTATCTGTGGTCTACTTTGACCCTAAAAAGTGTTAAAGGCTGGAAGAATGGTTTCTTTTATTGTTACTCACCGGACTGTGTCCTTTTGGTACAATGTGAACTGGGACAGGTTGCCAAAGGAGGTCAGGGTTCCATACTTGCTCACCAGTGGGGGGGAACATACCAGCTAGATTTGCCTGGGCACTCATAATTGTTCGATCGGTTTCTGAGCTCTGAACCAAAATCTAAAAGAAATAAAAGCAAATATGTCACAGTTCAGGATCTGAACACAGAAACCTCGTCATAATAAGGTGACCCTGAAGACTCTAAGACTCTCTTCATGGCCATCTTATTTTGGCACCATGTGCAAGCACTGGTTGGTGACAGATGGCAGGTAGATGTCATGTTATGCCTGTTCCTTATGCATACAGCACGGTAAATTTCAGCTTACTCAAACCTTCTGTAAACACCAACATTTATTGACATCATGTTGGTGATGTCCAACATACAGTAAAATTCAACACACATCTTGAGACTAGAATTGCTAGGCCACAGTGGAGCACAAGTTTCAGTTTCTTATTGGCCCAGGAAACATTTTCTACTATTTTTTTCAGCTTAAAGACTTAAAGAAATAGTTCATCACAGGTGAAGATGGTTTTTAAAAACTGATGAGGAAAAAAAGGGGGGGATGAAAGGAAAAAAGAAATCACTGCTTTAATCAGAAAGACTGCTTTCATGTCCAGAGCTGCCTTTAATCAGTTTTAAGTATATTGTTCAGCTCCATCCCTACCTGGATGAGGACATTGGTGAATGCACTGGTTATCTCCCAGATCAATTACTGCAATGCCTTCTATGTGGGGCCTCCCTTGGGGCTGATCCAGAGATTTCAGGAGGTCCAGAATGTGGTAACAAGACTAATGTCTGGGTCAAGTAAATTTATTTATTTATTTAATTTAATTTAATTTATATGCCGCCCACTCTACCCAGAGGTCTCTGGGCGGCTTACAACAATTAAAATTCAATACAATAAAAATAAAATGATTAAAATACAATGAAAATACAATTAAAATACAATTAAAATTGCCATAATCAGGACCCACAGTTGATGTTATTTCAATTAAAAGCCTTCTGGAACAGGAAGGTTTTTACCTGGCGCTGAAATGTCATCAACGTTGGTGCCAGACGAATCTCAGTCGGGAGGGCATTACATAGTCTGGGGGCAGCTGCCGAAAAGGTCCTTTGTCTACAAGCCATCCCTCTTACCTCCTTGAGGGACGGCTCTTTCAAAAGGGCCCCCTGGCTAGATCTTAACAGCCGGGTAGGCTCATATGGAAGGAGGCGGACCTTCAAGTATCCAGGGCCCAAGCCGTTTGACCACATATCCCCAGTCCTGGCTTGCCTGCACGTTGCCTCTCAGGTCAGATGCAAGGTTTTGATAATCACCTACAAAGCCATTAATAGTTTGGGACCACATTACTTGTCGGAGCGTCTTTTCCCTATGTCATCTAACTACCCCACTCAGGTCTACCCAGGCAATGCTCCTCTCAGGTCAGATGCAAGGTTTTGATAATCACCTACAAAGCCATTAATAGTCTGGGACCACATTACTTGTCGGAGCATCTTTTCCCTATGTCATCTAACTACACCACTCAGGTCTACCCAGGCAATGCTCCTCCAGATGGCCATCCCAAGCAAGGGCAGGAAATCGTCTACTAGAACCAGGGCCTTCTTCACAGTGGCATCAAGACTATGGAAACAACTCTCGGAGGAGGTGAGCCTGGCTTTCTCCCTCCCAACATTCAAAAAGTGTCTGAAAACATTTCTTTTTGGAGAGGCCTCTTTTTAGCCATTCACCTTGATTTTTTTTATATGTCTCACATTAGGCTTGTAAGTTATAATTTAAGAATCTTGAGTTTATTTAATTGATTATGTGTTTTTATTTTAACTTGATGTTGTTTGTTTTATTTTACCGTAAATCACCCAGAATAGTGCATGCACTAGTGGGGAGGTATATAAATTTAAGTAACAAACAACAAACAAACAAATGTGGGCGTGATCTAGAAATGGATGGAGGTAAATGCCCAACCTTTAAAGCCACCCCATAGAGAAAAATCAAACACTTTTCCCTCCAGTGCTACTTGACCTGAGATTTGTCTCTTTTTTCTCTGAAGAATGTAAGAAGCATAGGAGACCCCAGAAACTGTTATGTGCAACAGCTGTAATTAAGGGCTAACAAGAATAAATGGAAGACTGGTGCAGTTGTTAAAACGAAGGAGGAAGAGAAATGTGTTGTTATTGGATTTCAACTTAGTAAGATTTTGGGGCAGGGGAGAAATCCAAATATTTGACTATATACCTTAAATTCTATCTCAATGCCCATTTAAAAAAATATGTGGCCCCAGTTGTTATATTGTTGGAGATTTTTTTCCTTATAAGTTCTAGTACCCACCTCCTCTCGTTTGTATGCATGGCTCAGGAAGTTAGAATATCTTTTCTTTATGTACTGTCCAAGCTCGTACTGCTGCTGCATTCCAATCTGTGGGAGCAACAATATAGGTGTGACTTGGGATGGAAGCATAGCCAGTCAAATGTGGCTATGGCAAGAAATGTACCAAATATAGTGATGGTAAGTCATGATCAGTATTAGTACATAGAAGTGATAAATACGGTAGCATTAATGTGTCTTCTGTTCCTTCTAGACCTGTGGTCCCCAACACTTTCCCAACCGCGGACCAGTTGAGGGTGTGTGGCGTGCCTGCAGGGGGGCGGAGCTCATGCACATGCATGTTGCACTCATGGGGGGACTCACACACATGCGCATACCACATTTGTAGGGGTGGAATGCTCTCACGTGCATGTGTGCGACGGTGCTCGCAGGGGTCTAGGAGATCTGTGCCCACGACCTGGTCCTAGATAGGCCGCGGAACGCTGCCAGGTTGCGGACCGGGGGTTGTGGACCCCTATTCTAGACTATTGCATTGAATAGGAAGAGAGTCATTGTCCATTTTATAACCTAACTTATATCTGTATGTTCAGATTTTAAACATAATCATTAATCAAGTTATGGGATGAAAAGATCTTCTGTTAGTTCAGAAATGTTACTTTATTCATCCATCAAGAGTCCTATAAGAAATACCATACCTTATCCAGGATGGTCTGCAGTCCTGTCCCACTAATTCTGGACAAAAATTTGCAAGCTTATTTTTATACAATTCAAGAGTTAAGTGGCTGACCAATTCTCTAATATATGCACAGATGTAAATACAATTATTTCCTGTACAACCTACTGTTGTGTAAGTGTGCAGCCTGGATATCATTTTCACCTGAGTCAAAATGAGCAACTTCTACTGGTGGAGAGATTCATTCCTTCCATCTGCCAAGCCCACCAACCCATGCCATCATGGCACAAAATGTGCTGCTGTGCCACCAAATATCACTATTGTGGCAGTGGCAGCAAGAAGAAACACTCTTGTTTCATTTTAAAACAAGTTATGAGGGAAGTGTGTGCCTTGTTTTTAGCTCAAAGTGTGCTTCTGAGAGACTTCTTAGGCTGCGATTAAGTAATAATAATAATCATGCGCTGTGAACTCAATTCTGACTTATGGTGACTCTTCTCAGGATTTTCCATACACCGTGGTTTAGCATTCCCTTCTTCTGGGGGGGGGGGTGCCCTGGAACTGTGCACCTTGCCAAAGGCCACACAGGTTGGCTCTACTCACAGGAGGTATAATGGGGAATTAAACTCCTAACCTCTGGCTCCGCAGCCAGACATCTAAGCCACTGAGTTATATACCTTTATTTATTTATTTATTTATTAGATTTTTATCCCGCCCTTCTAGACATATGTTTACTCAGGGTGGCTCACAATAAAATTATTCATAAAAACAATTAAAACAACTATTTACATTGACAATATTAGTAATCAAGATGGAAAATATGAAACAAAAGATTAAGTAGAAAGTAAAAGTCAAGTATTGACAGGAGGGAAGACCTGCCTAAAGAGCCAAGTCTTTAATTGGCTCTTTAAAACACCCAGCGAGGGTGCCAGGCAGCTCTCTGATGGCAGACTATTCCAAAGTCAAGGGACCACTGCTGAGAAGGCCTGGTTTCTTGTTCATTCTTTCCAGGCCTCTCTCGGCATTAGGCCCCTCAGCATTCTTTCCTGGCTATAGTGAGTGACTCGAGTAGATCTAGGTGGGAAAAGGCGTTCCACTAAGCATCGAGGTCCTAAACCATTTAGGGCTTTATATAAAATCATTAACACTTTGAAAACAATGCGGAAATGAATGGGCAGCTAATGCAAGGCAGCCAGAGTGGGAGAAGTCAGATTGATCAGATGTGAATTGCCTGTGTATCCCCCATTTTAAACTTTTGTATCCAAGGTTATATTTGGTTCCCTTTGTTATGATAGCAAAGGCATCTTATTGTAATTCCATGTTCTAGGGACATGTTGTTGATCAGATTTATAAACATCAGGTATCAAATGTGAAACCTGTATTATTTAATTCTGTTTTCAGATTTGATTGTAGGAGCTTTTGGCGTTGACAAAGTTGCTTTGTACAGGTAAGGGCGAATGTTGGGACGAAGGTCCGTGATGTTTAAATATGTAAATATACAGTATTCAGAAATAATATTGCAGGACAAGTGAGAATGAGTCTATCAGGGTCTTTCCCTGGATCCTATCAGAAGTTCCAGGTTAAGGTTTCTGTTTTCCTTTGCACACACTCCCACAGCACACCAGTGTTGTTGTAGCCAAAAAACTGTTGGCAGGTGATGTTATCTCTTTAAGTCTTGCTCCTAGTCCTCCAAATAAGTAGTGTGCCCAGCAACAAGAAGCGTAACATGAGCCGTCATACTGGGCATCCTGACCAAAGCCTGGGTCAGTTTTGAAAGTAAGCTTTGAGAGTGAGAATCCTGGGAAAGAACAGATGTGTTTACAAAAGAGAGTGTTTGCACCAAGTAAGGCAATGAGGTGGATGTAGCTGCTTAAGAATAACACAGTCTAAATAACCTCTGTCAGCTGGAACCCAACCATGGATATAGGCAGGTGTAAGTCTACACGTCCAGTGATCAAAAGGTCACCTATCACTGGTAGAGAAGAAGGTATGGTTCTTTCTGACAGGTGCCTCTTTTTTGATCCCTGTCTACTTTTCCTTAAAAGGGCACGACCAGTCATTACTGTAAACCCCGGACTAGAAGTCACGCCAACCATTCTAAATCCAGAGGACAAAACCTGTGAAGAAAGTGGCCGGAAAGTTTCTTGGTGAGAGTGCTTTGTCACAAATGCGAAATCAAGAAGGCTGAACCATGTGTTTTCTGCGACAATATTCAGAATGAAAAAAGCTATCGAGAAGCTAACAAATGAACAGGCAGCTAGTTCGAGGCAGCCATAACGAGGAAGCGGATGGGATGTGAGCTCCCTTTTCCTATGTTCCTCCGAAAGACAGGTGGAACAGAAAATGGGGCTGGGTCAACCCAGTGGCCAATGCTAAATAAAGTGGTGGAGAGCTGCCCACCCCAGAGGGAAAGATGGAGACTCCTCACCCCCACCCCACCCCTCCCAGGCTTAACCTAAAAGTGTGCAGGGGGAGGGGGGGGAGAAGGTGTGAATCACTGATGTTGCAGCTCTTGATATTTCTTTGAAATGCCCAACGTAGTTTGGGACTCCTTGAAGTGTAATGGAAATTTTAG